CAAAAATAGGAATTGCAACATCTCTGTACTGCTGGTTCTTAACTCCGCTCAGTATTGCTCTTTGTAAGGAAACTTCTATTCGTATTTTAAAGATATAGCACTATTTCTGTACACAACTCATTAAAAAAGGCTGCTTGTTCGGAGTTAAATCCTGCAAGCCTTTTGCAAATAAACTTTTATAATTCTGTTGTGATCCACTGGAAGGTTTTCAACACCAAAGCTACTCAAATTTCACCCACATCTGTGTCCCTTTCAAGACGCTAAAGCCTTTTTTGTGCAGAGCTGATCTATTGTGTACAGGGTGTATTATGAGGGCACAGTCCCACAGGTTTCTGATATACTTGTGGGAGGACAGCCATTGATTTATTGCACCAAGAAATGTCAGGTGTATTGGTATAACCTTCCAGAAGCATTCCTCTCGGGAGATTTTTGAAGTCACTGCTCAGTTATCCACGTTCTCAGCCACTTTGGGTTATTTTCAGTTGAATTCTGCCACACAGGTTTTATTTTAAATATTGATTGGAACCTATTTTTCAAAAAATCCTTTAATGAAGATGCCAGTTCAACAGGACATGGACATACTGGCAGACGTGCAAAGCAAAGGGCCACAAAGTCAGAAGGTGGGGTTGGCAGGCTGTGCCCGGCTCCCCTGACGCTGATCTGCTGTTGTGGTTTAACCCCGGAGCAGAGGGGTCTGAAGCAGCGGAGATAAGCTGGCAGAGGCCACGCTATGGGGTCACACCCTGCCGGGGGCCCCCAAAACCCCAGGCAACCACATGGCGCAATGCGAATCAAAAAAAAGGGCTCGTCCCATCCCAGGATCGCTGATTTCTGGTACAGCCCTTTATCACCGTAGCTTCTGGTCTTACTTATACTCTAAAGAACTAACCTAAACCTATACTGTAAATTATTTTTGGAAAAAAAAAAAAAACAAACAACCAACCATACAATCTTTAAGCAAAGTTTCCAGTTACATCAGTCACCGTGATTTCATTTGTACTTTTTTCGTGAAAGGAACATCACGTTCCTTACAAGAATCAAGTGAGATTAAGTTGTGAAGCAAAGAATTACGGCACAATAAATAGCAAACTGGTTTGTCAAGGCAATGGTTCAAGTACCTGGTACCAAAAACTGTTTTTCTTTAAGACATGCAATCATTCAAACTGGCCTGCATAGCTGGTAAGCATGAAAATTCATTCCACAAAACCCAGCAGGTTAAGAAACCCTTCGGAAGCACTGATATTTTGGGGTAGATTTTCAGGTCCGACTTTGCTGAATTACACTTCACGCTGTTAACACGCCTCACCCACAGAGCACGGCACCAACAAATTAACTTCTGAAAATCTGCAGAAGCATGCAATTTTTTTTACATGCATTTCGCTAGCTTCTATTTAAACTTCAAATTAGCTTATTGACTCAGTTCATTAATTGAATAGATTAGCCTCTCCTCTTAAAATCAGCAAGGCATCATTTGCCACAGGCAGTAGCTCCCTCATTTAGCTAAGACGACAGCATACCTGGCTCCCACACGAGCACTCCAAAACTTCATGCTCCCCTTTGAGTAACTATCACGGCCTCTCTAATTACGAGCTCCTGCAGCCTGAGTTTATCATTAACTCAGTCAGTTAGGGGATCTCACTGCCCGAAGGGTGGGATTTGTCCACAAGGGATGCAGCCCTACCATTTGCCACTGAAGTTCAGATGCTATGTAAAACATGTTAATCAATTTTTTAGGTGTCTACTGAAGCTCAAAAATTATTAGCTCGTTTTCACAAAATACGAACAGAACACGCTAAATTTAAAAAAAAAAAAAAAAGAGATTTTTTTTTTTCTTTCTTTCTGAATATTCACCCAGAATCAATGGCTCGGTGGCAGTTTTGTGGATGGCGTCTGCTTTGAGAACTATTTCTTTTAGTAATTTTCTGGGAATTCTTAATCCACATTTGAAACTGCCACTTCAAAGAAAATCTGATCGTGCTTAAAAGCAATATGCTTAGTGTGACTTCATAAACAATCCTGCAGCTGTAGGTAAAAAAAAAAAAATTAAACGGAAAGATTTAAGAGCCAAAAGCAAACCCGCAACACACATGATAATTAAACATTTCAAATGGGCTAGGTTTGGCCTGAAACCAGCATCCAACTATTTTACATGGATGATCAGTAAGTTGTGTTCTGTCACTTAACAGAGTTTAAGACAAAACTCTTACACACCATCTTCCCTCACAAAAGCTGATGAATGTAATACAACCTGAGAGAAAACATTATCCTCTTCTAGCATTTTAGACAGCAATAATACAGCTCTAAACCACTAACTGGTAGAACGGGTTGGTAATTACCCGCCTCATGTGAGCTACCAGTATCTGTGTAAACCTCTTCAGCTTTCCAGACTCCTGCTGGGTTCAGTTCCTTAAATCCATCCAAGTCTCCTTGCTCCTTCTGCCTTCACGGCTGCCATTCCCCTTGCTGCTGTCCCCACCCATCATCCTTCTTACCTTTTTTTTTTTTTTTTGGGTACACTAGCTACCACCAATTTTTTCAGGTTTTTTTTTTGTAAGCGGCTTCTTAATTTCCTGCTACATACTCTTTTCTTTCCATATTTAATTAACATAAGGAGTATTTTATGATCCTTTTGTAATGGAGACCTAGACAAAATTGTAAAATCAAATTACCCTAAATTATATTAAAGAAGCCTGGTTACGACAGGCTTAGTGTGCAATGCCAGCAGCGGCCAGAAACAGAAGTAAACAACTATTGAGCTACGGGCAAGGTCTGCAGGTGAAACATTTTTGCTTTTTGACTAAGACTCACGTAGCTATCGAGAAATTCTCTCTGGCTTATAAAATCAAATATCCTCAGACTTTATCTCATAACTTAATCTTCTGTCTCGATTTTAGTTATCCTGTATATTACTACGTTCATTATTTTAAAGTATTGTGCTTAGAGATTTCCTATTGTGTAAAAGCAATATCCCAGACAAAAAAAAGTCTTAAGTCATTGTGTCAGAATTTGATTAAAATAAAGTTACTGACCATTAAATAGAACTATATTTTAATTTAATAATAAGGGATTTAATGCAAGCTATTGTTTAACATGGTTTATACTCCACTCTAAAAGAAATTGATGAGGTAATGCTACCAGACAGCTTGAGAAAAGTCAAGGATACCGGGACATTCCAAAAATCTTACTGTCTCCCGAGAACATTTTTTAACTCTGACATCAACCATCTAATAAAATCTGAATCCACCAGAGGTCTTGTGAATGCATTCGAAGTAATTCGATGCAAAATTATCTCCAAGACAGATGAAGTAGGAAAAAACTACTAGTTTTGGCTCAAAGGTTTCCAGGAGAGTAAATCTTTGGAAGTATACCTTACCTAGTAGCAGTGCAGATCAAAAGTCAGTAGTAACTTGTCTAGTGTGACTGGTACTAAGAAAAGGTAACTAATGATGGTTAATAGTAGCCACTTTTCTCCTTTTTTTTTTTTTTTAAATAATGTTCAAAGCAACAAATTCATTTTGAAGTTTGTTACAAACCAGACACCCAATCAGAAGATCAGGAAGTAATAAAGTCAGGATTTGTTTCATTAGTGAAATGCCCAGAATGTTTCTTCTGACACTCCTTTTTCTTTCTATAGCATTACTTCTTTAAGTTTACACATTTTAAAAGGAATTATTTCCAGACATTCCTCCCCTGAAACTGTTCTTGAGGAGTGTGGCTTTTTGGATTTTATGTGAAAATAGATTATTACAGTTTGGATAGCAAAGCGTCGATCAATTTGCCTCACATAACAAGTGAAAGACCTTGGAAAAGTAGAAACACCTTAGAATTTATTTTATGGATCCATACTAGGTATCTAGTTTAAAAAACAAAAATAAAAATAAGGCTTTTATTTAAATATTAGAGACTCACATTTAAAACCTTAAACGTCCATCCCTGACATTAATCTGATCAGTGTACTGAAAACAGACAGTAGCTCCCCCACAAGAACACAATTGTTCCTTTGAACAATTAAGCATCAATCTTTCATGAAATCTGTATGATTTGATCTAGTTGCCTACCTTTAAATAAATTCAGTTGCAGACTTTGTTTGCATTCAAGCAGTTTATGACACATCTGCATGGTTAGAGAGGCACTGTTGCAATGTTATTTGCTGGATTACCAGGGAGGAAACGTTAACATCAACAATGGATTTTAAAATTACACTGAATTTCATGACTGAACAGGTAGATATGAGGCAAAAATCTCACACTTCATCATCAGTGTCCAATCTTCATTCAAACCCACTGAGGCAACATATAAGTATGTTGTTTTAACTGTCTTTTGTTTTTCTTCCCCTAGTTCTGGTTAGTTGGGTTTTTGCTTAGTTTTCTTGTTTTAAACTGAGATTTTCACTTAAATAAAGAAATAGTAATCAATTGCTAAAGAACTCAGTCTAAAAAAAAAAGAGAAATTTTCTCAAAGTAGGAACAGTTTATCCATGAAAACTGTCATTTCTCCTATGAAAAAACAAGTTTAACAGAATGGAGACATAACTCTACACACTGAATTTCTCATTCTGACATTTTATGAGAGATCTAATATTTTAAATGTATAAGGTAGTTCAAATTATGGAAGATGTTTATTCCCGTCGCAGGACGTGCCATAGATCGCCACAGTTCGTTCTTTTTTTTGGTCATCGCATCACAACACAGAAGAAAGTCCATAAAAACCGGTCTATTTGCAGCTAAATGTGTAGCCATCTATAATGGGAAGAGCTGCGTCATATTCCTGGGGGAAAGTTACCCCGTAGTACTACATACTCCGGCCATCTGACCTTCAGAGCTATTATGTTTCTTGAAGCCTTTGAGGTGAGGAATGAAGTTGCAAATAAGACCTAAATTATGTGTTGGCCAAAACTTGCACTTCGAAGCAAAGCACAATTTTCAGCACATCTAATTTGACCCCTCCAGTATTTTTCCACTTAATGAGTAAAGGTATTACTGTGTTAAAGAATTACTCACCCGATTAGGGACACCATCTGTTCCACTATATGTTTGCTGAATGTTATAATAACGAAAAGTTTCTGTAGGAAGGAAAACATCAGTTAGAGAAACATTTGATCAAAAGGGAAGCAGAGACAATGGGGTACGACAATTTATGTTCCTTTCCAACCAGACAGCTTCTCCAGCACTCACACATAGTTTTCCCTTCTTTTTTCTTTCAGGATCTTTAATTTTCAATACTCTTTTCCAAAAGAGGCAGGAGAGAGAAAAGCTGTTTATTATTCTATTTCCTCATAGATTTCATTTCTTGCGATGTTTTTGTAGCCTGTGTTAATAACCATTCGCATCCTCCCCAAACTTAAATTCCCAGAAGCTCAAGGTCACTTTACTCCGTCAACAATGTTTTAATGGAAAAACAGTCATCACTGTGCAGAAAAATGCACATCCCCTTACACAAACACATGTACTTAAAGATCACAGAAGTGAAAAATAACGTATCTTTTAGTCCCCTAGTTCATGTGCTCCAGACAGAAACGTAACAAAAACTACTCAGTGAAGAACAAAGTAAGAGCCATCAGGTACCTGGCTGTTCAAAAAACTTTGATTGTCACTGTCTTTAATGCAACAGACTATTTGGAACACTGTAATTTCAGTAAAAGAAACTTCTGTAACACATAGCTTATTTTGCAGAAAATCCAAATGTCCGGAATTTTACCACTCCCTTCTCTTCTAACACAACTTAAAATTTTGTTAAAATAGCCTTTGCTAATTCCAATTTTGTCATATTTGACAGCTTGCTGGTTTGCAAAGAGCGAGCAAGAGTGCATGTAGGTGCGTATACACACACAAACAGTTCCCACAGTCTCCTTAAATCAATTTAAAGATGACCTAAGGAGAACTGCAACCACTGGTCTGGAAAGAGGGGATGTGACTAGAGCTACACAAAATGACTCTGTGGTCCGGAGGAAGAGGCCAGTTAAAAGCAGCTCCAGGACGGCCACTGTACCAGTCACCCGCTTCCTGTCTAGAGAGAGATTTCATTAGAAGCCTTTTCCATGACTCTTACATTTCCTAAATTCCAAATTGCAGCAAGATCACTACAAAATTCAAGGCTATTGCACAAGAGTATGCTTGAAATCAAGCATCGCAGAAAAGAGAGTTCTGATAGCTAAACGTATTACAAAATAAGATGATTTACCAACTGTATGAGACACTGGGAGATATTTTTGCACTTACATTTGATCTGAGCATGGAGCACTATAAATTATATAGCAAACATTCTGCTAGCTAAACAAGACAAATAAAATAATAAAAGGAGTATTACACAAATACTATTTCACTTTTCTATGTTGCCATCTAGCTACGCAGATTTAAAAGCAGGTAATACAAAAATAAGTGTGGAGAAAAAAGTTGTTCTATCACAGTAAATGAAAGAATTTTCAGATCTATTTATTTTTATTTTATTTAATCTATTTATTTTCTGTTTAAGGACTGGGCAAAGTAAAATAACCATTTACAAAAAGATGGGAAGAAAAAAAGGGTTGAAGATTGAAATCTTCTGTTCAGGCCAAAAGATTTTTAAGCAGCTTGAGGAGGGTACTAGACGAGTAATTTTACACTAGTAATAGCTTCTGCTATTTTAATGTAGCGACAGCAAAGATTTCCAAGCAACACAGCTACAGGCACTGCACCAGGCCTACAGAGATGCTTAAAAATAACCAAGGCCCAGCTGAAAACATTGGTTCTAATCATTACAAATAGAGCGATGCAGTTAACGATGCAGCACTAACCACACCACCACCAGTAAAGAATCGCCTGGGAATCGATATTTCATCTTTCATTGGACAAAATGATGATGCATTTTAAAAGCGAGACTCAAAATTTTTGAAAGCAACCGGAGATTCCGACTGCCAAATTCAGAAGATCCGGTAAAGCTCTGAGTTAGCAAGAAAAACTGGACACACTCTGAAATTGGGCCCTTTCAAAATAATACAGACTGAGGACACCAAAAATTGCTAACGATGCTTGAAGGAATATATGCCCAGAGCCGTACCCCCAGGCTGCTTGCTGCAGGGCCTGAAAGGAGTGGGGTTTTCTCTACACACTCAACTGAGATAAAAGGGAGCATTTAAAAGTGCCGCTTAACCGGTAAAGGCTAGTTGCAGTGCTCTTTGAAATGAGTATTTGTTACCAAAAAGGCAAGTTCATTATGAGTACGAAGTCCTTTCAGTCTGGTAAAAACCGTAGGTAAATAACTTGGCTAACCACCAATTTCCTGAGTGGTGTAGGCAGCGAGCTCATTAGTTTGTAGCTATAAATTATTCAGTTGCCTAAGTTTCGAGCGTAAGAAGCCTAGCAGATCCTTTATTGTAAATCCTTTGCACCAAATTAATTTCCATTACTTCAGGTCAGGAAGGGAGACTCCAGAATTCATTACGAAGTAACACAGTGTAACAGTCAAAAAAAAAAAAAAAAAAAAAGAAGAAAAAGCCTTCACCCCAGTGCCCTAAGGGAGGTGTAGTACTTGCCTGGATGTGCATTTTAATTACTGCTTTCCCAATCAAGGTTGCACCAAAGAAGGTCCAGAAGGGAACCAGAAAGTGTCCGCATGTTATCCCAGCCAGGTCGAACAGCGGGTTTGGAATCTACGAAGTGCAAGGGAAAGAAGTTCATGAATTGCAGCACGCACTTAGATGAACAGGAACACGACAGACTTTGAAACTTTGAAAAATGAACATTTTTCCCCTTATTCAACTTGATCCAAAACTCTTGTGTCTTAATACTTACAAAAATGTCAATGTCACACCACATAACTTAAGTCTCTGGGATTCGGCTAGACAATGTCCCAGACAATTCCATTCTCAGAGTCCCTCCTTACCCTTGGATTTTAAAAAAGCTAACAAAAAGTTTTCCATGTGAAATGCACAGAAACCACAGTAAAGCCATTTTGAGTGATTTATCAAATTTTCTCACTGACAAGCACATCACTCTTGGAAGCTAGTGTTCAAAATGATCCCCAGTGATTTCCATCTGAGAAAGTACATTAAAAACTGGCATTTACAGTCATATGTATCCAGTTTATTAAGCATATGCATTTCATTTAAAATTAAAAGTTGGTTGGGTTTTTTTTTTTTTTATTGTTAAACTGTTGGCTTGACGTTTGGTATTGTGATACTATCTGTAAAATATTTTTGAAATTAAACCAAGAAAGTATCCAGATTCCAACCTTTCACACTTAGCGTGCTGTACAAGGGCAGACTGTCTGAGTAAACGCGTGGGGTATGTGTAATTCCCAGTAGCAGTGTATTACTGGGCTAATATCCTGCAGTATTTGTGTTGTTTTGTTACACAAACAAACAAACAAACAAACAGTGTAGATTGCTGGGGACCATAAAAGGATAGTAACTTTGCAACTGACTGGATGGAAATCTGAAATCTGTGAGAAAACTTATGAGGGTTATACTTAGCTGTTATAGACCAGCAATTCAAATTTATGAGCACCCAGAACACCACCTGCATAGGAAGAAATCTGAAACGGTCTCTAATCATGCCCCGAAACGGTCTCTAAACATGCTCCACTTCAACGAAAATGATTCTTTACCTCTGACAGCTGTCTCAGGCATAGGAGGCTAGTAAATTATTTACTTATACCACAGCCAGATAATTTTGCTCTTCTGAGCCAAGTCTGCTCTAGGTCTCAAGTATGTTCTTTGTTGGTTGGTTTGAGGGGGTTTTTGTAAGTTCACGGCACATTTACATTACTGCATTAGTATCACCATAGAGGGAGCAGCATGCTTTAGGCAGCGGTAACTGTGGATATCATCAATGCATTAAACATATCACAGGCAAAAGTTACTCAACAAGTCCCCATCAGGGTATATTAGCAGGCCCGCGAGATTTTCTCTTTGTTTGTTTTTGAATAAACACACACACGCAGTACTGAGAGTTGCCAAAAAAGCCCACAAAGACAGGAGGGCAAATTCTCACAAGTCACAGCAAGGATCTTCCAGGGCTAATTCTTGCTTTGTTCCTTCCCCAGAGCTGCCTCTACATAGGAAATAAGCTCCAGACAATAATACGGCTTTCTTATTGCCACTTAACAACATTACATTCAGTTGACTTCACTGGATAAACTTGCAAAGTTTTAAATTCAATTTGATTGTGGTTTTATGTAGCATTTAGAAGCCACTGCTTGACAGACAACAACCTGCAGCTAGGACAGTCATTACCACTTCATAAGCAAGTTCTCTAATCATAAAAAAATACACCCAACTAAATTACAGGTTAAAATCCAAAAGCAAGATCACAATTACAGGGGGGGCAAGTAAAGGAGACACCTTCCAGCGTACAGAGAAGCAGCAACAAGCAAGAGAAGCCCTGAAGCTCGTGGGGGAACGCACAACTGCAAGGAGCACACGTGGGGAGCTGCCTTCCTCACCCACAGATGCAACAAAAATGTATAGCTTGGAATCCCTATGCTTTTTCAATGCCTCTGCCACGCTTAACCTCACCCTTTTTTCCTGCTTCTCTGCAGTTACTCTGTAAAGACACTGACAAATCCTCAAGTGCACTGTGGTGGATTCGTGATTCCTCACCCCTGCCCCAAGCCCAGGCAGCCTATCTCAGCAAAAGGAAGCTGGAGCTCAGAGCACGTTGAAGAACAGTGCAGTGAGTAGGTAAGAAGTTAAGCAAATGTTTAGGTATTACTAAGCAGGAACTACGAAGCGTTTACACATCACCTCTCGTGTTTACCAACTCCTTCCTCATGTTCTCCATTTATCCACATTTCACCTTGTCCGGCCACTCCAGGAACTCGTCCCTGCCAGCTACAAGCTGTTCTGATTACACAAGACAGAGAGAAGAGGCTGTGCAGTGATGTCTCACAAGATGGTGACTAGAGTAATGAGTCAGAGGCAGTGAAGGAGCAGTCTAAGAGCTTACTGGATGGAAAGATTTAAAGAACAGCTTGTAACCTACGTCTCCACTCTAAACATAAGGGGAGTTCAAAAGATTAGTAAACAGAAGTTGTATGCCAGTGACTATGATCAGATTAATTCTTTCCAGCTAACACAGGTTACTTACATTTGAGCTAATAGTTAGGCATTGTCATCTCCACAGTTTAGGAAACAGAGAGATGCTAGACAAGTGTGGAACTAAGACCTCATCAGCTGAGCAGCTGGCTAATGGCTGTGGTTATTCCGGAAGAATGGGATCATAGGGGACCTACACTTCCCCCCTTCCCTGTAATCACATTTCTGTGCATCACGTCCCACATTTTGCCTGGGGGACAGAAGAATAAGACACACCATTCCTACCGGTTTGCATTAAGCTTCCAGAGAGAGATTTAAACCTCAAATGGTTCACTATTTTTATACTCCAAAAGAACAGTATTATCCTCCTTAAAACACTAAAATAGCACTAGCGGAGATGCTCGTATCAGCTCTTGTTTAGAGAGAAAAAAACCCTACAAGCAGTTTGTAGTTCATATAGCCATGACTCAAACTGGTTTCCTCCTTGTGCTCCCTCTGGTTCCTAGTGACCCAGAGATATCTCCAGAGCAGACTTAGGAGAATTACTGTGGATGGATATCCTAATCAGGATTTATACAGGTAGTTTTCCACTCTTCAATTCGTGAATATCTATAGATCTGAAGATGTCAAGTACTGTACGCTATAGGACATAAACACCTCGAGAAATAATAATATGGTTCCAGCAGAATCTACAGGTAATAATACAGCTCTTGCTTTATCTTGCCAGCTAATAATCCGGGCTAGGAAAGTCCCAACAGGGTAACTGTCAGCGGGCACCTCATCTGATCTGCCAAATACCCACTGGGGCAGAGCAGCGAGCGGCAGCGTGCGTACGCCTCTGTCAGAGAGGACGTGGCCTCAACATGAAAAGCAGGGAGCACCCTGGTCTGAAACAGAAACACAGAAACTTCTTGGATTTGAAGAATGTCTTAGTGCAGTCTTTTGTAAGTCTTCCTTACTGTGACAAGGCTTTTGCATCTTTAGTGAAGTGACCTGTTTTCACCAGGTCCCACCACACCACAACTGTACAATGAATTGCTTTATCTTTCAAAAAAAAAAAGGATTTTGCACCTTTCATTTCTGATGGATTAAAACGGAAATAGAATTATTCCAAACTGATTTTCTTCCATGGAGAACTAGTACCAAGAAGTCTGACGGTGAAGTTGAAGGAAGGGATAAGAACTGTGCTTTTCTGCAGAATTCACTGTGTTTGGTACTAATCGAGGACTGGAGTTTCTCCATGCTATTGTACTTGCCAGTACCACAACCATCCCATTTCTCCAAGTACCACAGAGAACACAGAAACAGCCAAGAAGGCACGAGGTTCCGTACGGACTCCGTACGGACAAAACCAAGTCACAGTTCGCAGCACTAGTTTCACTGCAGGACATTCAATCTGCAATTTGTGATTACAAAGATGAACTTACCGAGGCGCAGGCCAAAATGCCAAAGAACCCGACCTTCTGCACCAGGTTCTGGACAGCCAGTTTAGCCCGGGAAGCAAAATCCTGCAAAGAAGAAAACAAAGCATTAAACAAGGCAAAACCTAAAATAAACATTTGTAAAAATGTACGTGACTTCAATATCCTCCATGCTTTGGGATTTCCTAATTAGCATTTGGGAGAATTTTTAAAACAAAAAGGCCAATTTGAAACGCTGGGTTTAGAGGGAAAAGAGAGAAAATCAAATGCTCAGTGTGAAAATCTGACCACCCACATGTATTGAGAGTTTTATTTTTCAAAACCCTGCAAGCGGCACTAAGTTCACACTATGATGGAAACAGGTTTCCTAGTATTTGTTTCCCCTTATCTTTGAATTGCCAGGGCTGCTTATACCTTATTCCTGCAACAAGCAAAGGGAATTAATGCCTTTAACACCATTTACAATGTTAAAAAGGTACTTTCTCAAAACACAAAGCCAGAATATAATAAACCCATTACATCCCGAGATCTTTACTCTCAAACCCAGGATCTTAATCCAAATAGCTAATTCCAGGTACTCCCTACAACAGACTTGTAAAGTTCATCAAATCCTTAGAGATGAATCTAAAATACTTGAAAAGCAACAAAGGTGGCAGACCACAGAACCTGTGAGCTGTTCCTGACAAAGCCATGCTAAGAACATGCTGCTGACTTTTATTTTGTGATCACAACTTTCAAACATACTCAGGATAAACTCAAGAGTCTCAAAGTTTACCAAATACAGAGTAAACATTTTAAAAAGCAAAAATAAAGATTCTCACAAGCAGTTTATTTGAATGTGAGAAGAGAATTTACATGTGAGTAAAATTCTGTTGATGCAAAACTGTCCAAAAAGTTAAAATCAAGGTCAATATTATCTATTCAGGCTTGGCAACAGTAGTTATTAAAAAAAAAAAAAAAAAGCTGAGTATCCTTGGTAATAGCAAACTTTAAAATGTAATTATTAATTCTTTTTTTAAAAACCTTCATATAAGCAATAACAAGCTGATTTTCCTATAGCAATGCAATATTCACTGATTTCAATTTTGTAGAAAACAGATAAATTTCACAAGGAAGTTACTTTAACCAATAATTAATTAAATTCTAAATTCTAGACTTCAAGATAACCACAGAAGAATTAAATTTATGTAACTGTAACTTTATTACAATTCTGTTGAAACTTTCAATACTCTATACCAATGCATGTAAATTACAATTACTTGTATTACTTGACAATGTTCTTCCATATTATTTAAATTCTGAACTAGAGAACTGTCAAAACTTTCTATGCCAGATTAATAAAAATAAATATCTGTGATAAGGCCATTTGCTATCTTTTTACATCCCTTTTTCAAATAGTAACTTTTCTCCTTTACAGTGCTTTAAAAATAGTTTTTATTCTCAAATAAAAAAACCCAATTCTTACTGAAATCAGAATAATTCTATTTATTATACTTTATAGTTGAAAAAAATAACCCAAATTAAAATAAATACTTCAACTTAAAGAAAAATGCCAAATAAAGGAGATTTCCTACATCTTACAGTGGGACATTTTTACCCACAGGAGAATATAAACCCTCTTTTGCTAACTTTAACCAGGAGTAACACCTTGGGATCGTGAATGCCTTATTGCAAAATGGAATAGGTGAAATATTTGCTCTTTCTTGAAAACTTGTTCCTGATATTTTTCTATTGAACTTCTGGGATACGTAGAGTATGCATGAGTGATTAAAACCTACTCCCAGCGAGGCTGATACCGAACCCTTGAACTTAGGTTAGCAAAACCAGGTCTAGAACATGCCTACATGACAAATAAAGTAAAATTTTTCATGCTTTTCAGTTAAAAGAATGCATTTGCACACAAATTGTTATAAATAACAAAGCATGATAATTTGCCAGTGAACCGAGTCCAAAAGTCTTGCGACGTCGAGGGCAGTTCCTTCTCAAACTAAAATTCCCTCATCATTATTTCCAAGTTAGTAAACAAAACCGAAACAAGGTAATAAATGATCACTAATACGGCTCAGCACTAATACACACGCTCGGTCCCACGAGGATTTGGGACGTGAACTGAAAAGGATGCAAAATTTCTGCAGAGTGATCACACAGCCAGCAAGAAGGGACATAAAATGCAGCCCACTAAGGAGACCACAGGTATTCTAATTCCTGATCCAACTACAAAAGTAGAAATATGCCTTCAGAATTGCCCTACAAACTCATTTCAAATTTAAAAGTTTGCTAATGTGTAACAATAATATTGTCCTTCCAGCAACAGATTTTGCTCTTTGAAAAGGTGAACTGAACAAGTAGTGCCTTATGTAGGAATTTCAGCTGTCTCCCCCTCTGCTCTATAACACAACAGAATGTGACCATGATATTTTCAGTTCCTATTTTGTTCACTATTTCACAATGCTCCTGGGGTTAGAACAATATTTTCACTTTTATAAGCCACTAAAGATTTTTTTCACAGCTCCATAAATCTCATTGTAAAGTATCTTTAAAATAAAACGCTACAATTATTCAAATAGGTCCATGATATATTACAGTGGAAGTTGTTTCTATTCTAATTTTAACATATTTACCCATTCTTTTAGACTGTGTTGCTAACAGACTGCTGTATTAATTTTCACAGGCTGGAATTGGAAGCAAACTCTCTAGCAAGTGATCTACAAACTAATGCTTGCAGCACAGCTGTTTTAATAAAATATATATTATTATAAT